CTAAACCAATAATCTTACCATTCTGTTAGTACTAAACTAATGATCTTACCATTCTATTAGTACTAAACCAATAATCTTACCATTCTGTTAGTACTAAACTAATGATCTTACCATTCTATTAGTACTAAACCAATAACATTACCATTCTATTAGTACTAAACCAATAATCTTACCATTCCATATTTGTATTGTGGTTTATTATAGAAAGTCGTAATATATAGTTTATATTAGTATATTTGTATTGTGGTTTATTATAGAAAGTTATTATGTATGGTTTATATTACTATATTTGGGCTGTAGTTTATTATATAAAGCCATAATGTATATAGCTTATATTAATATGTTTGCACTGTGGTATATTATAGAAAGGCATAATATATCTTTCATAATAATATATTTGCATTGTGTTTTATTATGGAACATTCTGAGATGTTTTATGTTCGATAGAAATTAATATAATTATAATTTGTTACAGAACAGTATAACCTTTCAAAAGACCCGTGTTATTTGCAAATATATTATGAATGTTAATTTATTAAATAAAATATTGGAATTGTAGTGGCTTAAAATACATAACACTATGTATATTTTTTTATTATGTAACATCTTAGAGGTTTTATTTAGCACTTTTCTTTGAAGAATGTGTTTGGTAATTATGGTTAACAATAATGTATAAAATGTTATATAGTAGTTAAAATACCTAATATTTTTTTTATCGTAGAACATGTAACACGTTATATGTGTGTAACAGTTTTAAGTTAATATATAATATTCTATTTTATTCCTTATCATAGAAATGTGTTTAATTTAATGGTTATAAAAGAAAATCCTTAGTACAACGGAAAGAAAAAATAATCGAAAATTATGAAATAAATAATAAACAGTTATCAGTTATCAAAATTGCCTCACAGATCATTAACAATGTAATAACATCGATAATTGTATCACGATAACAGAAAAATTATTTGTACTTGTTCTAATTCAATCATTTATTCGTCCAACTAATGTTGATATTAATTACGGTATGCTTTTCAAGTTTTTGTTAAGTAGTCTTGAAATATTTTTAGAAAGCTTTATTCCATTTCGTTCGAAAGATGAATATGATCCTTAAATGTCTTGAAGATTTTGTTAATGAAAAGTATTTCTATCTGGCAATACCTAATGATACAAAAAGTCCGTTTTTATTACTTTCTACATATATTTATCAATTATTATTACACCCATACTCTATATCATTCGAGTTCTATTCCTCAATATTCAAGTCTGTAAAAACTCATAAAAAGCATCTTTCTTATTTCAGACATCCATGGAGATGGAACTCTGACAATAAAAGGTAGTTTTCTTGCCAATTATAAAACAAAATCAGAACAGATTAGGTTATCTCAGTTTAGTAGTTGATTTGCCTTTTAAATATTCAGTTATTTAACGTTGCTGAATTTATGTCCCCCAGATTAATAGCAACAACTGTAATGTTGACAAACATTATGTCCTAACACAGAAAACAATAAAATGTCCTAACAATAAAAAACTGTTTCAACACACCGATTGGAGAAGGTCTACAGAAGAGGAGTAAGGAAGCAATGATCTTAAAATGAACATAGCAGGAAGGATTTTACGAACTACTTGAATAATTTTATAGCTCAGTTTCGTATAAAATATAACCCGGTTGACTTATTTTTACATCTCACTAAAAGTGTAAGAACCTTGTCGATTTCTTTCCTTCTTACACCATGAGCCAACCTGGATTTACATTCAATTTTATGCTTAAAATTCATTAGTTATTTATTGCCATTATTATATTTTCGATTCATTTGCGTATCAGAATTATTTCTTTTGCCCACTTGGGTGCATGTAGTATGAAAACAATGTTCTGTTAGATTTCGTGTGTTTATATAGCTAGGACATATATCGTCACAGCTTTTGTATTGTTTGAGCTAGAAAAGTAGTATGGTATGAATACCCAGAAGTCAATGGACATTTAACTGGAATATGTGTTTTGATGTTATGGCATTTCTAAAGACTGACTTGGCATACAATGAATAAATTATAGTCTTACAAATTATATATTCAAGAGCTAATTAAACTAATAAAAATTATATACCCAATAGCTATTGTAGTTACACCTCAAATACTTTATACGTAATTTAATGAAATCATATCTTACGTATTTAATGCCTAACTGAGTTATTGCAACTGCACATTACGTATTTAGCATTCATCCAGATTAATGTAACTATATCTTACAAAGTCAATATCTAATTAAACTAAACCTTAGATATTCAATGTTTAGTTTACGTAAGGGAAGTTTCGTTAATTTAATTAATATGTATGTAAATTATTGCAACTACATATAAATTAAATTAATTCAACTATCTTTACATACTTAATATTTAACTAAACTAATACATGCTCAAAATTTACCTGAACTATTGCAAAAACCTTGTATATTAATAAACTAGAAAAGTTAAGTACCAAATAAAATACAGGCTATCCTCTCTCCAAATGTGGAGTTCTGTCGCAGTACGTTTGTCAGTGTGCAGTTCTAATTCCGAACCACTGACCACAGACAGGAATGTAACCAACCGGCAGTAAAAACTTTTATTTTGTAATTTATTATTAGTAATTACTGTGTATTACTTTTTTATGATAATTATTTTTATATTCGTATTTTTAACATTAGGTACCCAGTGTAAATAACAGTATTTAAGTATTAGTTATACAACTATTTTACGATTGTGAATTTAGTCGCCTGTCTTGGCGAAAGCTCTCCTCCCTCCAGTAATCTCCTCAAAGTTCTTCTAGCTCATTTCAGTTTGATTTCACATTTCCCCCTTTTTCCTCCAGTCTTCCAATTGACCACAGTGCTCCCTTTATCAAATTTCTTGTGCTCTCCATCTATATACTATTTCGTTGACAATATCGTTCAGATACCCTACCAGATCACCCAACGTTTGAATCTTACCAGCTAGGAGCTTCATTTTCCCTTTAATACATAATCAACTAGGATCGTTACCAGAAAGCCTTCAAATCTCTCAAAGATTTTACTCGTGTTCTTTGGACAAAATCTGCCTCCACTTCTGCGATGGAGTTTGTTAGGAGTATGATCCTGTCATGATCTTTACTGTTACTGGTCAACCAGACAAGTGCATCTGCTCTGAATGAACTGGATCACCTAGGTTTTGATGCAGAAAATTCAAGCACAAAATGTCCATCTCTACATACGACTCTTGCTCATGCTCCCACGAAAGATTACCCGTATATCCCTTCCATGACTTCGACTGTGTTGACCAGTCGTGACTTTCCTCTCTACATCTTCATTGTGTTTAACTTAATAACATATGCTTGGACCTATTCAATACCCTTGATGTGTTCCATTGGAAATTTCTCCTCTACATCTTTCTTGGCCTTAATGACCAATGATTTGACCGATTTCATTCTCTGTATTACTGCTTCGTCTGTCCTCTCTTTAGTGCTGATATGGTGAGTAAGATATGGTTGTTGATGGTCAGTGTGGTGTTTGGCTGGCTAGGATGTTTTATCTTATAGTAATGCTGCTCCCACCAAGCCAAAACTGTTGGGTGTCACAGAATATTGGTTCGACTGCTCGTTGTTATTCTCATCGCTGCACTCCCCCCTTCCCCAGTAACTTGGTCATTGTTGAATTTACTGCTGAAGTATACAAATTAATGTCATACTAAGTTATAGTTACAACTGATGTTCTCGTCAAATTAACGAGGCTCGTTTACTGTACTATTTGGATAGTATTCACAAAGGGTAAGACGCTTCATTGTCTTCTCTTTCGGATGATCAATATGTGCAGACATTGTCAATCTGCGATTCTCCACAACACCCAGAAAAGTGATAGAGTTCTTATGTGGAATTATTCTATCTGCAAATGTCAACACACATAGAGGGCTGTCTGTGTGAGATCTGGTAGTTAAAATCCAACAGGCTTTATCTGATTGGATGGACGTTTTGTAATATATAGTCCACTGACAGAGACTTTTGCTGGATTCTTGTAGATCCCATCTCTTCCATTGGCGTGAATGAGATGCGTGCAATAATCATATGGTCAACATATGCATATGGTATCACTCCGGCTGCTCTATTCAGTGGGTTGACTAGGTCAACTGTGTATGTGTTGAAGAGGAACAGGACTCAGCAAGGATGTTGTGGCAAACCACAGTTTATCCCAAACATTTCAGATTTCAATGTCCAGCATTCCCAATATGCCCGAGACACCTAGAACCTTTAGCTTAGTTGCCAAAATGCCCATATTCACTCAGTTGTAATCATCTAATAGTCCAACAGCGCAATGGTGTGACGCCTACCTTGACATTTGAGATTCTTCGGTTTTGCCCTCTCACCCTGGTAAGCAAGATAATATATTTTCTCCAATCTTTTTGCTGATACTTTTTTCATGATATTTACCCATGCATTTGGATTGTTATTTTTTTATATCCCTTTAGTGTGTGATGGTTTTTGAAGGGTTTGGCAACAATGAAGTTCTTGAGCATCATTGACAAATCGATTATTTCAGATTTATCTTCTATGGATGAGTCTTGGATGCTGACGTATCTCACACATCTGAGCCTGGTGCATAATTTCTACTTGTTACTTGAAGAATTCTCTCCAATTCATGCAGTGCTACTCCCATTTCCGGTTTCTACCAAAATTAATGTACACACTTGCTACTTAATAAAACTAATGCGACTTTAACCTACACACTCAATGTCTAAATAAACTAATTTGACTGGATACCTTACATACTCCGCGTATTTAAGTTTACTAGTTCAACTAAACATTACATGATAAGCATAAAGTCAAATGTAATGCCATTACACATTACGGCCAAGATATCGGTCTGAAAAAAGGAACCTATTTCTTCAGGCAGAATATGTAAGCTACAACAGTCATCCTTTATGTCTTATGCACATAATACTTTTATTAAACTAGTTTGGGAATACCTGATATACATGATATACAACAAAGCTAAGACTGTATGTATGGCGATTGTTTTTTACTCAAAACTAATATTACTAGTATACATTATGCACAAACTAAATATATATATATATACAAATTACTATACTTAAATGTATTGGTCATAATGAAGCTAAATCCACTTTACTCGACAAAATTTTGTTATATGTGTATATTTACAGTCCAATAATATAAACAATGATTTAGATCATATTAATTGTAGATTGGCTGTATGCTAATGTGATTTTTTTAAAATTGTTAGTTGCAGTTTTAAAGGAAATTAAATTTAGTAGATGAATGTTTTGTAGTTATTCTGCTTCGAACATCTGTTTGATTATTATAACCTAAAGTATACACGGTATAATAGTAATAATCGCTATAATGCTATTATATTTGATGTTTAAAAAATGATCATTATTTTTGTTTTCCAAAAATGAATACGTTAATGTTCAAACTGCAAAGTTTCATTATAACTGATTATTAGCACGAACACAGCATAGTAGCAATTAAAAAAAATTGTTTTTCACTGAAACATAGTTAAAAAAATATTGTTCATATGGGATTGTTTCTGTAATAATTTAATAAGTTCATCCTTCATTTGACGTCATCTCTTAGCTTTTTTGTCTTATGTTGTGTTTTTATATTATTAATTTTGTAATAGAGAGAAAGTCTCTCTGAATATGCCAAAGTAAAGCGTTTTGTACCACAGAAAATATTTTAAGGTAAGTTAAAACAGTTAATGTAATCAGAACATTGCACTGATTTGTAATACAAGATACGTAAAACCAGAGAATCAACTTAATAACAAACCTGCAAAACCAGAGCATCCATTATTATTGACATGCACAGTAGAGAGTGATATAGTAATTTCTGTTTACTAGCTAAAGTACAAGTTCCAACGAAGGAATGGCGGCTGTAGTGTCCATTGTAGTTGGATAAACCCGATCTGTATTTTAAGAAAATTATATCTATAATGGTAAGATTATTGGTTTGGTTCTAATAGAATGGTGAGATTATTGGTTTAGTACTAATAGAATGGTAAGATCATTGGTTTAGTACTAATAGAATGGTATAATCATTGGTTTAGTACTGATAGAATGGTAATATTATTGGTTTAGTACTAATAGAATAGTAATATTATTGGTTTAGTACTAGTAGAATGGTAAGATCATTGGTTTAGTACTAGTAGAATGGCAAGATCATTGGTTTAGTACTAATAGAATGGTAAGATTATTGGTTTAGTACTAATAGAATGATAAGATTATTGGTTTAGTACTAATAGAATGGTAAACTCATTGGTTTAATACTAATAACTAATATAAACTATATATTACGACTTTCTATACTAAA